AATAAAACATATCTAATCTAAATAGAGTTTTAAAATTTGTTTCCACATCTTCTCCCTATTTCTTAGTTGTATTGAAATTCTACCTCATGGTCTAACAGATATCTAAAATGAAATATATCTATTTTTAAGTCCTGATAGTTCTTCCAAATCTCCTCTACACACAGTCTTAAAATCTCAGCCCATAGCAAATCCATCCTTCTGGCTGTTTGGGACAAAATTTTTTTAAAAAGATTTTATTTATTTATTTGACAGAGAGAGACACAGCTAGAGAGGGAACACAAGCAGGGGGAGTGGGAGAGGGAGAAGCAGACTTCCCGTGGAGCAGGGAGCCCAACGCGGGGCTCGATCCCAGGACCCTGGGATCATGACCTGAGCCAAAGGCAGATGCTTAATGACTGAGCCACCCGGGCGCCCCTGGGACAACATTTTTGAGTTATCCCATCTCCTTTTGTATTGTGACCCAAAGAGGCTGCTCTTTGAGAGTAAGCAGGGAAGGGGAGTAAGGAGAAAGAAACCAATTTCTATCCTTTTGTAGGACCTGGGTTGGATTCTGCTGAGGCGTTGTCACCTCTCATGACTCTCTCTGACCACAAGCTCCTATGGCAACAGTGGCACTGATAGATAAGCACAGATGAGTGGATGGTTTCCCAGGCCCTCTTCAACTAGACCTCCACCTCCACCCACATGTATGTAGTGCTTCAGTATAGAGGGTTTTTCCTGGACACTTCATCTTTTTCCCTCCCTGATGTTGAGTCTGGGGGCCCTGGAGGGTCACTCCCAACCTAAAGTACTGAATCCAGGCCAGAGATTATATGGGGAGGTTCCCACTTCAGGAATCCAATGGGATACAGTGTGGAAGTATGAAGTGTAGGTTCTCAGAATCCCACTAACCTTGTGTCATCTGCATGGAGGGACCTGCAGAGAAAAGCAGAGCTGCAGAGACCAGAGACCTCAATGTGCATTCCACCTGGGCCCTTCTCCAAGGCTGTGACCTGAAGCAAGTCTCCTTACTGCCCTTGCTGTCTATTTTCTTAAGTATAGAATGGGAATATTAACAATCTCCCTTCCTGGGTGTCATACTGGAAACTAGGGGAGTTCTCGGGCCCTGAGACCTCAATCACCACCTGGTGCCAGGTTATTGATTTTCCCACTAGAATGAATTCAAGAATGAGTCAGAGTAAAGTATAACTGAAAAAGCTCTATTGCAATGTGAAAGTACACACTCCAATTGATATTGAGTGCATATGCACTCAGGAGGATCTGACTCTTGCCAGGTGCATATGGGGCTCTGATTCTTTTTTTTTAAGATTTTTATTTATTTATTCATGAGAGACAGAGAGAGAGAGAGAGAGCAAAGCAGAGGGAGAAGCAGGCTCCCAAGGAGCAGGGAGCCCGATGCGGGACTCGATCCCAGGACCCTGGGATCATGACCTGAGCCGAAGGCAGATGCTTAACCATCTGAGCCACCCAGGCGCCCTGGGGCTCTGATTCTTAAGGGTGGTTATAATTTGGGTGTGGACTATTCAAGTGGGGTTCTGGGAATAGGCATGGATTTCCAAGAACTCTACATATCATTACCCGTGTTCTATGCTAGCTACTATACACAGGTGCAGTCTGATTTCAGGCTAACTGGGTATTTGTGCACTGAGTGCCAAGGGCTGGAGCAACAACTTCGCTTAGTCATGAACAGTTAGATTTGAAATTACACAAAACAAATATATAACAATCTATTTTCCTGTTTAAGGTAATTACTTAATTTTGGAAAGTGAGTCCATTAAATTGTTCGGCTATGATAATTGCAGAAGTGATGTGTCCTTTTGGATGTAAGTGGTCAAGAGGCCCTGTGTTCTCTTGTAGTGCTAATCACTGTCAAGATTTAAGCATTTTATTCATTTGTTGTCCCCATGGCTCCCTCCCTCACTTCATTCTAGACTCACTCCAGTATTCCCTTCTCTTAGAGCCCTTCTGGGGTTGCCCTGTTTAAAGTTGCCCTAAATTCTAGTGTCTTCCCTCTGCTTTGTTTTTGCTTTTTTTCAGGATCCCTAGGGGTATCTGCCATTCTCTTCATCATTTATTTGGTCCTTTGTGAAGATCTGATTCCATCAGTGAAACTAGATGTCCTTCATAACTCCACATTATCACTCAACACAGAATTATTTTGAACTAAAGGCAGTTAAGAAGCAGCAAAAACAAGAAAAACACTCTACTCTCCGCCTATTTGCCTAAAAGCTGGACAGAAATTTACTAGGACTAAAGTCAATCACCAAAGACAAACTTAGACCCTATCAGCCTGGCGACAGCACCATAGCAATTTACATAACACAATTTACTAACTATCCTTTATCTAACATTAGTTTCCCATGTTTGCCTTCCCACAATATGCCGCTCCTAGAGACTTGGGTACTTTTCCCTTGTCTTGCTACTTCCCTAATATTGTACTGTTCCGTTGCTGAAGATGATATAGAAGACTGAATACAAACCCCTGTCTTTGAGTTATTCAACCCAGACTCTCTGTCGTGTACATATGAGATATACATGCTAATAAATTTACGTTTTTCTCTTGTTAATATCTTTTGTTATAAAAGCCTGAGGAGAGAACTTAGGATGGGTAGCGGAAAACATTTTCCTCCCTTATATTTCTACACACAAAAGTAATGAGTTGTGGACATGATTCCCCTGCAGTATGCCTGTGGCCCTTCTAAGAAGGCACAAAGACCCCAGCCCTCCGCCTTGAAATCTCTACAATTTCCAGCGCCCCTCATGGTGCCCAAGACCTCTTCTCCCCCACGTGACACTAAGGACATCCCTTGCAGGAGGCCCCTGCAGTAATTACCCAGAAAATGCTGCTCTGAAGACCGCTGAGTTGCTCCAATGAAAGCCCAGGAGAGGAGCATTTCCCTGCCTGGGAATGATGTTAGCGCCCGACATCCCCCATTCTCCTCCAGGTTTTCTCCATGGGATCAGAGGCTCCGAAAGGCTGAGTAAGGATCGAGGTGATTGACTGCAGGCCGGGATAGGGAACTCCAGGCCCAGGTTCCCCCTCCTCTACCACTCTGCTCCATCCATGGACTCGGAAGGCTGGTGAGGTAACAAGTGCAGTACAACCGCAGCAGAGCCACTGGTACCTGAAATCTGATTTGATGCTTGGTAATAATGTTGAAGCAAGGAACAGGGAGGGAGGACTTCATAGTAGGACTCAAGGCTGCCTCTGTCAGTGGGGAAATCAGAGTCTAGGATACTACTTGATCCTGTTTTAATCTGGCAAGCATTTTCTGGGCAACGTATGCTGAGTAACAGAGAGGCCGAGGAGATGACCATGATGTAGGACAGGAAGGGGCTGTGGCTGTGGGAGTGCAGTTGTGAGAGGTGTGGCAGAAAGAGTGATGTGCACATGGAGAGGGAGTGTGAACTTATGACCCAGGGCCCTCATAGCCACCCCATGGATGGTGGTGTCTGGGAAAGGCGATCTGGGGAACCCTAGAAGCATTGCCTGGAAAGAGGGGGTGTTGTGGCCATGCATGGGAGGTCCAGAGCTTAAGTGCCCTCTGCCTACCTGCCTATTGTTGAGGGGTGACACAGTCATCAATGGGACCAAGATGAGACACTAACTGACACTAATTATTAGCTTCCACTAGACATGGACACATCAGTGTCTGAAAGACTCTAGGGAATGATGTGTTTATTTGGTTTGTAGCCTTTGGGAGCATCCAGAACATTATTCTTAGCCTCCGGGAGTATGCTGAGCTTCGCTGGGTCTGAAATTTCTCCAAACACTTGGGTGATCAGCTGCAGAGAGCACTGCGCAAAAATATGATTACATTACCTCAAAGAGGAAGCGAATCTCACTGAATCGGTCTTTTCCCTACCCCATTCCCACGGGACCTTGGACCTTCCCGGCAGGCAGTCCCTAACTCCGGGCCTTGGAACTGTGGGGACTACGTTACCCAGAATGCCGAGTCGAGCGGCAGCATCGCTCTCCAATGAGAGCTTCAAAAGAGGTTCTTCCGCCTGGGGCCGGCCCGCGCAGGCGGGACTTCCGGCTGCCTCCTCAAAGCCGCCGGGATAGCGGCTCTTGCTGTTGCTTACCAAGTAAAAGGATTCTGCAACCATACTGACTTGACACGACCTAGAAGGGGCGAGAGGAGAGCTGACCCGCTCCACGGTGGCGGGTCTGGGATTCGGTGACGCTGCCTGGGCTGCCCCGGGCCGAAGCCGGGAAAGACACCACCGGCCGGGTGTCCGCTCCGCCCACCGAGTCCGATGGCGGCGGCCGCGCCCAGGGCCCGGGCTCAGGTAAGCGCTCGTCCCCCGGGCCCTCCCCGCCGTCCCCCCACCCAGACCCCGAAGGCCGAGCGCGGGGCGCCGGCTCGCGGCCCTGCGGCCCAGGCCCCGGAGTGCGGGCCCCGGAGTGCGAGCGCCGGCGCGCTGGCGCGCGGGAGCGGGCTCCAGCTGCGGGGCACGTCCTGAGGGACGATCCTGAGCCCTGAGGCACGGAGCTTGAACGGCCAGCCAGCCGAGTCACAGTCTTCAGGGCCGGGCGAGGACCCGGGAGCTTTGAGTCCGTGGAAGCCGCCGTGGTCTTGTGGGCCCAAGGCTGGGCCGGACTCGCCCCATTTCCCGCCGCTGCAGAAGCGCTTACGGCACCACCACGAACGAGTGGGGGGTGGCCCGGTCCCGCACTGGCCCCGACCTGACCCCCACCCGCTTGTCTTCTGCGTTGTTGTGTCCTGGGACTCTTAAGTGCCATTTCCCAAGTGTTGGGTCTGGAGACCGAGGAGAAACCCCAAGCCCGAGCCAAGCGTTCCCTGAAGCGGTTTCCGTTTCTGGCAACCGGTGTGTGCACGGTTATTCCGGGAACCCGTAGCAGGGTGTGCACGTGCCTGAGTCAACACTCAGCTGGCACCGTTCGGGAAACCACCGTTCTCTTTTCTTGCGGCTGGGAGCGAAGAGCAGAGAGACGGCAGTGAGGACTGGAATGGCTGCCTGAGAAGTCGGGTGTGTCTTCTGGTGGTAATGGCAGGCTTGGGTATGAGCAGCTACGTGATGTTACCAGGGTCCCGACGGGATCCACCCTGCTGTGGCGTGAAGTAGAGATACGGGCTGAGGGAGGAGGCGGGAAGACCAGGGTGGAGGCCGCCGTCATAGCCGAGGTGAGGGTTCTTGGACCAGAGTGCTGGCTTGGATGTCACTGGATTCTGGATATGTGTTCTAGAAAAGTGACCACTGACTTTCTAATGTGGGCTGAGACACGGTGAAAGGGAGGATTCGGGGCTATCTCTAGGGTTTTAGTCCTCAGCAGCTGTAGGAATGGAAGCTCCATCGACTGAGACGAGGAGGTCGGTAGTGTGAGTGATGTTGCTGGGAGATGTTCCGGAGAGCACCGACTGGATGCATTAAGTGAGCCGCCGAACACGCAAGTCTGGAAATGTGGGGAGGGGTTCAGAAGGGAGACATCCAAACACATCATGGCTACTGTGTGGGCCCAGCTGAGTGAGCTGTAGGTCACAGGTGTGAGGAGCAGTCTCTGGTTATGGGGGTAAAGCTGGTCATGGGGCCAGAAAGTGGTGGGAGGAAGGGGGACCGGGACCGGATGCGTAGGTGATGGTGTGCCTTCAGAGATGAGGGATGTGGGTGGCCACAGAGGGCGAGCGCGTCGGGGGCAGGATACTCGGGCAGGTGGCCAAGGTTTCCAGCGGAAGAGTAGACGTGAGAGGGACCCAGAAGTTCGGGAGTACTTAAGGCAAGGTGATGACACTCAGGCCCGTGATGGGGTGCTCCTGCACTCTGAACTGCACCAGGGTTTTGTGAAGACTTTCATCCTGGAGGAGTAAGGTCACGTGTGCCGTGCTGATGTGATCACCTGTGAGAGACACTGAGCCTGGGCTAGGCCACCAAGGAGCCTTGCTTTGAATGAGGGTCGGGGGACAGAGGAAGACCGTGATTGCCGAGGGGACCAGGGCAGCACAGGTGCGGGAGAACCTTGTCTGGTGAGAGGCGGGGGAACTCACGGCCCGAGTGTGAGATCCCCTCCCACTCTTCTGCTGTTGGGAAGGTCTCCTGCTCAAACTGCCTTTTCATCACAGGTGCATTTCCTGCTTTTCCCTTTGTACGGGTCTCAGCGCCCTACCAGCCCATGGACTTACACATCCTCTTACAGGAACCGGGAGGCACCTCACCCTCTCGATCCTGTGAAGCGTGCATCCTACAGCTCCTGGTTGTCACTTTTTTCCAGAGTGCCACCCCCGTGTGGGCCTGTGTGGGCTGTGGTGTCCCCTCCCAGGCTGTGAATATCTGTGATTACTGAAGTGCCATCCATCTCATCTGTCCAGTGTTAGGTGTTCTGTGTTTGGCCATCCCCATAACCCTAAGATGGGACTCCCGCCCTCCCCAGTGGGGTGAAGCGGAGGTGGTTAAAATACCAGTAACACGTGGGGAGGCCAGGGAGATTTCTGTGGTGTGGGGCAGTGAGGTGTGGTGACCATAGGCATGTGGCTGTGGGATCCAGTCTCAAGAACGATGTGTCCTTGGAGAGGGAGTATGCCTGATTGACGCCAGGGCCCTGGTTTTCAGCAGAATAACCTGGATGGCCAGGAAGATCCCTCTATGCCAGGGCCACAACTTCGATATATATATGCTTGTCCACCTGCCTCCTCTTGTGTCAGCGGGACCCTGCGATCGGTGGGCCACGAGGAGACATGGTGGTGCCATGGCACCCAGGCACGGGGGCCTGGTTTCTCCTCTCGGTTGGGGAGATCAGGGGGAGGATGGGCATAGGGTAGATGTGGGTGGGAAAAGGGGTATGGGTTCTTGGGAGAGGGGCTTTTTGTGGTTTCATCTGTCCCCATCCTGCCAGGGCAGGGTGACCTTTGAAGACGTGGCCGTGTACTTCTCCTGGGAGGAATGGGGTCTCCTTGATGAGGCTCAGAGATGTCTGTACCAGGATGTGATGCTGGAGAACTTGGCACTTATAACCTCCTTGGGTAAGACCCTCCACCCCCACCCCCTGTGCCCTGAGCTAGTCTCTGCCCTTCCCTTTGTCCCCAGGAGCAGTCTGTCTTTACACAGGGACCGTGAGCACTGCTTCCTTCCCCAGTTCGCGGGGTAGGTGCTGTGGTTGGTAAGGCTGAGGTCAGTGCACTGCCCTCCTTCCTTGAGCGGCCCCGACACCAGCTTTCCTGCTGACTTGCAGGGAAGGAATCAGGGTCAGGAGTCTTGCAGTGAACCTAATGGATAGCCCCTTACCTGCCCTCTCCCTGACCGGGTGACTTTGTCTCGATGCAAGATATCTGCATGCTCCACGTCTGCTTCCTTTCTCTCCTGAGGCTTCCTTGTGCCTCCCTGCGCCAGGACTTGCTGTCTGTGACAAAGTTACTACATCCGTGGACCATGGGCTGTTCTCATGAGACCCTCTTCCAGACCTCTCCGGGAACTGTTTAGTTCTCTTTGCCATGGGCTGTCATGTGCTGAGTCGTTCTGGGATACCGATGGCTAGTCATCTGTCCTCTGTTTTCCTTAGCACTTGTATCGTGAAGTTGCCATGCACTTGCTGATTGTGGGAGTGGGGTTGGATTGGAGAGCCCAGGGTGGTTCACAGTAGGTACACCGACCCACACACAACACGACGGCTCAGAGGAAGCCAGGCCCTGCAAAGTGGTACCTGGAGGAAGACGGTGTCCGTGCTGTGTTCAGATCAGACCGGAAGCTGTTCTGTTTGACTGGTATTATGATGCCAGGGGCCACATTTCATTTCTGTCTTCTCTTCCCCTTTCTTGGCACTCTGCCGATTTGCCAACTCTGTTACTTGTCGCTTCTGCTCTTACTTCTGGCCTGGGGTTAACCTCACGTTTCTGGGATCCACATCTCCCTCGTTTTTCTCACCACTCCACCTGCAGTGCTTTGCACATTGGCCGCTGTATAGTACGTCATGAGGTGTGCCCGTGTTCTTTTTCTTTTTTTTTTAAAGATTTTATTTATTTGACAGAGAAAGACAGTGAGAGAAGGAACACAAGCAGGGGGAGTGGGAGAGGGAGAAGCAGGCTTCCCTCTGAGCAGGGAGCCCGATGCGGGGCTCGATCCCAGGACCCTGGGATCATGACCTGAGCCGAAGGCAGACGCTTAACGTCTGGGCCACCCAGGCGGCCCAAGTGTGCCCGTGTTCTTAAAGCAGCCCTGAACACCACCTGCCAGGTTACAGTCCTATTTCCTTGGGTCTTGTCACACCTGTCTGCGCGGGAAAAGGTGTGTCCGTAGGAGATAAGTTCCTTTGGAAAGTTGTTTGCGGAGGAATGAATTGCAGACCATTTCTCTTCTCCGTGTCACACCACGTGCTTGCGTCCTTCCCCTCATGAGGCCTCTCCCATTCTGTGCTCCTTGTAGCCTGCTACTGCTAAGCAGCCCCATCCTCCACCTGAGCCATCTCCCTGGTCCTGCAAACACTCCCAAGCACTGGTTCCTGGGGTTCTTAGACACACATCTGTAGCGCATAGAGTAGCTGCCTCCTCCCACCAGAGGCAGCATGCACTTCACCAGCGTTTCTTGCTTTCAGGTTGTAGGCATGGTGCGGAGGATGAGGAGGCACCTGAGCGGAAGGTTTCCGTACAAGGCGTGTCCCAGGTCAGGACTTTCAAGGCAGTTGTGTCTCCCCAGAAGGCCCATTCTCGTGAGGTGTGTGGCCAGGACTTGAGAGACATTTTGCTCTCCACCGAGCACCAGGCAACACTTTGTGGACAGAATCTCTACAAGATTGAGGCATGTGAGAAACAGTTGTGTTTTGAAGCAAACCTTCAGCACCAGAAGGAGCACATTGGAGAGAAATGCTTCAGAGGCAACATGGCCAGAGCTTCTTTTGTGAAGGACTACAAATTGTGTGTGTCAGGGAAACCCTTTTCCTGTGGGGTGGTTGAGAGGGACATCTTGGCCACCTCGAGATTCTTCCAGCAGCAGGCCACACACAGCAGGGAGAAGTCATACAGGACGACGGAGTATGGGGCATCCTCTCGTGGAAGGAAAGCGCAACGCAACTGGGAAGGCGCAAAGGACTTCACTTGCAAACACACACTTGTTCACCACCAGAGAGACCTCGCTAGAGAGAGATGCTTCATGTGCAGTGAATGTGGGAAATCTTTTAGCAAAAGCTACAGCCTCAATGACCACTGGAGAGTGCACACTGGGGAAAAGCCTTATGAGTGTGGGGAATGTGGGAAGTCCTTCAGGCAGAGCTCTAGCCTCATTCAGCACCGGAGAGTTCACACTGGAGCAAGGCCTCACGAGTGTGACGAATGTGGCAAATTGTTTAGTAACAAGTCTAACCTCATTAAACATCGGAGAATTCACACTGGGGAACGGCCGTATGAGTGTAGTGAATGTGGGAAGTCCTTCAGCGAAAGCTCTGCGCTCCTCCAACACCGCAGTGTTCACACTGGAGAAAGGCCTTATGAGTGCAGTGAATGTGGGAAATTCTTTACCTACCACTCCAGTCTCATAAAACACCAGAGAGTTCACTCGGGATCGAGGCCCTATGAGTGCAGTGAATGTGGAAAATCCTTTACTCAAAACTCCAGCCTCATCGAACACCGTAGAGTTCATAGTGGAGAAAGGCCTTACAAGTGCAGCGAATGTGAGAAATCTTTTAGCCAAAGCTCCGCGCTGCTTCAACATCGGAGAGTTCACACTGGAGAAAGGCCTTATGAGTGCAGCGAATGTGGGAAATTCTTTACTTACAGTTCCAGTCTCCTCAAACACCAGAGAGTACATACTGGATCAAGGCCTTATGAGTGCAGTGAATGTGGGAAATCCTTTACTCAAAACTCCAGTCTCATTAAACACAGGAGAATTCACACTGGAGAAAGACCTTACGAGTGCAGCGAATGTGGGAAATCCTTTAGCCACAGTTCTAGTCTCATTAAGCACCGAAAAGTGCACACTGGAGAAAGGGTTTAGGAGGACAGTGACTTTGGGAAACGTTCGCCTCTGTCTTCCATTTCAGTGCCCATTCAAATACTCACACTGAAAACGGCTTTATGAGTGTTGGAACGTGGGATATTCTTTACCTATGAGTCCAAGCTCCTAAACCACCACAGTGTCTCCTTAGATGAAGGCCTGTGAATGTGAAGAATGTGGGAGATGGCTAACCAAAGGCTAGCCTCATTGCTCTCCAGAGAACTCACGGTAGTGAAAGGCCTTACAGATGCAGTGAATATGAGAAAGCCTTCATCTGAAGGACTTTACCTCATAGGACTTCACAAATTTCAAAGGGGAGAACTACCTTAAATGTGCAGGTATTTAATTGATGAATGTGACAACACGGGAGGAGATCCCTTATGAAGGTGCCATCTGCCTGTGTTGAAGCTCATACAGTCAGACATCTACATAAATCCCGGGTATGTGGCAGCTGCATTGCAGTCTTTGAACCTGCCCAGGGGCCGTGCCCCAGTGTCAGGGCAATTGCTGGATGACTAATGAATAGCCTGAGCGCTTACTCCTTCCCCGTTTTTCCTCTCTGAGGAGAGGGCATGCATCTCCCCCAGTTTTGTCCTGCGGGACTGTCGGTGATTTGAAAAGGTGGACGACATTTTTCAGGATTGTTACTGTCCTCATGAGACTCTGTGATGGCATTTCCCAGCCTCCAAATCACCAACCCAGGAACATTCTGCCTCCCGTTGCTCTTGCTGTATGACAATAAAGATCTTATTGTTTAAGCCACCATTAATCATAGGGATTCTGTGTGTGTTGAAATTAACTGTGTTTGTGAGCGTGAAGGGGTGAACAGAGTTGTGTGCCTCAGAAGGGACCGTATGATGGCAGAAGATAACTCTCCAGTTTGGGCCTACTTTGCATGGCTGCTCAAAGCCTTTAAGGAAAGACTGTAGGGCTCTGTGGTCCTAATTTATACTTGGATGCCAGGATATTTTGTGGGGTCAGAGTTTCGACCCGAAGAGGGGGCAGTCGTTGGTGGTTGTTTTGACAACCTTCAGTGCTTCTGAGCGGCATGGTCTTGTTCTCTTGTTCACAAGGGACACTGATGGCATGGTGCTCGGTGCTGGTGAAGGAAATCTCTTCCCCAGACCCAGCAGCGGAGCCAGGGGCCTTGATGTCCTGAATTCTGTAGAGTAACATCACTGGTTTTAAGATTCTAAGGGCCAGGGGAATGATTGCTGGTACAGAAACCCTGAATATATTAAGAGAGAGTGCGGGAGACCAGTGAACGAGTTGAATGTGCCTCTTTGAAAAGGGCATGCACAGTGTTTAGGCACTAGGACTGTGAAGATGAGCAGGTAGAGAGATTCTCAGGACCTGCACAAGGATGTATCTTGTGCAGCTGAGGGCCTGTCAGAAAACAATAATCTAAAGGTTTTGTGGATTCCTTGTTCCCTCTGGGCTGTTCACCAAAGGCCATGGTTTTGCATGGCAGCAAAGGAAGGACGGAAACAGGAGAGAACGCTTAGTGCAGCCAAGAGGCCTTCTCTGACTCAGCTGGTAACCCTGTTGAATGAACTCGGAATACCTTCATTGCTCACCTGTTTTTGCAAATGCCTTTTGATGAGGAGAAAGATGGTGGAATCAGTATGGTGGCCAAACTTAATCTTCTGAAGCATAGGGAATCCAGACTTAAATTTTAACCATATTTTTTTAAGTTTCAGTAAGGTACAAATGACATGCAATGTCCATCATTAAATTGTGCAATTTGACATTTTGACTTTCACATAAACCCATGAAGCCATCAATCATGATAATAAACCTTTTCATCACCCCCACATTTACTTTTTGTCCTTTAATAATCTCTCCTCGGGGCATCCATTGCCTTTCCATTATAGTAGATGAGTTTGCATTTTCTAGAATTTATAGGATTGGAGTCTTAAAAGTGTTTCATCATCCTTTCCTTGTGTGTCCCCTCATGTGACATTTTTAAAAATTTATCTGTGGTGCTTATATGAGTAGTTCATTGTTTATATCCTCGAGAAGTAGGTCCTATCGATATAGCACGATTTATTTATGTATTCTTCTCTTTATGGATATTTTAACTGTTTCCAGTTTGGCGGGCTGCAAGTAAAACTGCTGCAGAAGGGGCACCTGCTGGCCCCTTGGATTAAGCTTCTGAAATCTTGATTTTAGCTCATGTCATGATCCTAGGGTTGTGAGATCAAGCCCAGGGAGCCCAGCATTGGACTCCGCCCTGGGTGTGGAGCCTGCTCAACATTCTCTCTCTCTCTCTCCCCCATCTTTCCCCCGCAACTGCCCCCCACTGCCCTGCTTGAGCATGCGCACTGATGCTTTCTGGATAAATAAATATAAATGAATGAATGAATGAATTGCAGCCAGCCCAAAAATCACTAAAACCCTTTCTTTAAAAAAAAAAAGCAAAATTTGGATACTGTTCTTCCTGTTGGTAGGGTTCCTTTCTATTGTGTTAACATCTGAGTCATAGTGTAGGTGAAGGTATGACCTCATAAAGCACACCAAATTTTCTTGGAAAATGATTATTCGTTTTGTATTCCTACTAGCAGTGTATGAGAGTTCCAATTCTCTGGTATCTTTGCTAATAGTGGGTTTGGTTGGTCATTTAAAAAGTGAATGCTTTTAGTAAATGTGTAGCAGTATCTCACTGTGGTCCTGGCTGCATTTCCCTGATGGTTCTTGATGTTGAGCAAAGCTAGTGTACAAGAAATGTAGGGGGAGGCTGGGGGGGGCGCCTGGGTGGCTCAGTCGTTAAGCGTCTGCCTTCGGCCCAGGTCATGATCCCAGGGTCCTGGGATCGAGCCCCACATCGGGCTCCATGCCTCCCTCTCCCTCTGCTGCTCCCCCTGTTTGTGCTCTCTCTGTGACAAATAAATAAATAAATAAATCTTTAAAAAAAGAAATGTAGGCGGAGGTGGAGCATGAACAAATCAACAAGCCACATCTACACTGTAGCAAATTCTAATAGACAAAAGGCCTGGCAACCTCACCAAGTGAACAATAAAAACCAACAAGTGGTAAGTGGGTTAAAAGACTCATAAGAAGGGCACCTGGCTGGCTCAGTCTGTAGAGCGTGTGACTCTTGATCTCAGGGTCATGAGTTCAAGACCCAATTTGAGCATGGAGCCTACTGAATTAAAAAAAAAAAAAAAAAAGATGACTTGCAAGATTCACCTAATACTTGCCTATGGCTAAATTTCCCATCCTGATTGAACTCAATCTGCGCTAAATAACCAACACAGCTGACGAAACCCAGCACTTAAAATGACTTTTCATAATTTCAAATATTTTTATTGTAAAAAAGTTTTTGGAGTCATATAGGAGCATTTCCATTTTATAAACACATTTTGAATGGGGTAGGTGTGAATGACATTCATGTTTGGGATCATAAATAAACCACTAAGTGCATGGGGGTAGATGAAAGAATTGACCATAAAATGATAAATAATGATAGAATAACAACTTCCTAATAGTCTTTTCCATTTTGGGAATGTATTTGAAAATGCCATTACAAAGGGTAGAATATGTCCTGTTCTGAGTAATTTCCTATAGCAAGAGGATAAATTACAAAGGGTAGAAGGAAACTTTTAATACCATAAGCATGTAAATTACAAAATGTTGGGTTTTAAATATGAGCAGCTTAAGTCAATTATGCCTGAATTAAACTGTTTAAAAAACATTGATAACTTGTAACTTTCTGATCTTTTTATTTTTTTTAATATTTATTTATTTGAGAGAGAGCACGAGCAGGGAGAGGGGCAGAGGGAGAAGCAGGCTCCACGCGGAGCAGGGAGCCCAATGCGGGGCTCTATCCCAGGGCCCTGGGATCACGACCTGAACCAAAGCAGACTCTTAACAGACTGAGCCACCCAGGTGCCCCTTTCTGATATTTTTAAATAGACATTATTATTTTGTGTATGTCCATATTATTCCATTTTATTTGATCTAATAGACAAATCCTGCAAAGATTGAGATAGCCCTTTATAGCTTTAAAGTAGAAAGAAACAATTAGTATTGACTGCAGAAAGTTGGAACGCGAAAAAGGCTTAGAAATCCCAAGGCCCACTTCCTCCCTTTGCTGAAAATTAAATTAGGGCCCAGGTAGGGAAGTTGCTTGCAGGGCTAGTTAGTGGCAGGATTGGAAGTAAAACCCAGGTTTACTAAGGCACTGCCAATGTGGTCCAATTACATATATATAAATATATATATATATATATATATATGATTTAAGGCCTTTGTTTTCTTTTAGGGCAGTTTTAGGTTAATAAGAAAATGAAGAGGATGGTAGCTATCTCCCATATATCCCCTGACTGCACAAATGCAGCGCCTCCTCCATTATCAACATCCCCCACCAGAATGGTACCTTTGTTATAACTGAAAATCATTATCACCCAGAGTACATTGTACATATTAGGTGTACACATTCTGAGTCTGAGCAAATTCATAATAATATAATCACAGTATCACATAGATACTGTTTCACTGCCCTAAAAGTCCTCTGATTCCATTCCATCATCACTCATTACTGGGGAGCCACTGATCCTTTTACTCTCTCCATATCTTTGCTTTTTCTGGAATCATACAGTATGACGCCTCTTTAGATTGGCTATTTTCACTGAGTAATATGCACTTAAGATTCTTTCATGGCTTGATCATTTCTTTTTAGAACTGAACAATATTCCATTGTCTGCATGTATCACTGTTTATCCATTCACCCACTAAGGAGACATCTTGGTTGCTTTCAAGTTTTGGCAATTATGAATAAAGCTGCTAGAAACAATTGCGTGTAGATTTTTGCATGGCCCCAAGTTTTCAACTTTTTTGGTAAATACGAAGGAACACAATTGCCAGGTAGGGTAAGAGTAGGTTTAGTTCTGTAAGAAACTGCCAAAGTGTCTTCCAAAGTGGCTGTACTGTTCTCACCAGAAAGGAATGAAAGTTGGTGTTGTCCCCACATCCTCACCAGCCTGTGCTGTTTTCAGTGTTCGAGTTTGGCCATTCTAATAGGTGGATGGTGGCATCTCGGTGAGGATTTTCACATCTATGTTCATGAGAGATAGGGTCTAAAGTTTTCTTTACTTGTCATTGCTTTGTTTGGTTTGGGTGTTAGGGTAGTGCTAGGTTCTTAGGAGTTGGGGCTTATGCTCTGCCTCTACCCTCTGAATCCACCTGAGGGTGCTACGTTCTGTTTTGGAGGGTTATTATTTATTCAATTTCTTTTGTTGCTTGCTTTCTTCTATTATTCCTATAATTTGTAATTGACAGCTTTTGTGGTTGTTCCATAGTTGTGGAGTCTGCTTTTTTCAGGCCTTTCCATTTATTTTTTCCTAGTTTCCCAGGTTTTTCTTTTTCCTTTAAAGATTTTATTTATTTCTTCATGGGGGGGGGGCCCGAGGAAGAAGCAGGCCCCCTGCTGAGCAGGGAGCCTGACGAGGGACCTGATCCCACAACCCTGGGATCATGACCTAAGCCGAAGGCAGACACTTAAGCAACTGAGCTACCCAGGCGCCCTGCCCAGATTTTTCTGAGAGAACTTCAAGTCAGATTCTTTTCTTAGCTATGTGCAGTCTGCTGATAAGCCCACCAAAGCATTCTTCATTTCTGTTACAGTTTTTGATCTCCAACATTTGTTTGTTTTAGAATTTCCTTCTCAGTGTACAATGCCTATTCTTTTTTTTTTAAGATTTTATTTATTTATTTATTTGAGAAAGCGAGAAAGAGAGAGAGAGAGAGAGAAAGCACATGAG